TCGGTCTTATAGAGACCCCTTTGACGACTTCGGATAAATGCTCCTCTGACGGTGGATTGGTCCGAGTTATTAACATGATACAAGGTCACAAAGTCCTGCTGAAATCATTTTACGGCTTTATTGTATCTCTTGGGTTTTCCAAGTGCCCACAAATATGCCTTGCTATCTTGGACAGCACCGGAGGTTTTCATATATTTGAAGTATGTTCTAATATGCGATAGCTCACTAGCTAGATATTTGACTTATCAGATACCTTGGAATATAAAGTCTTGCTTCGCGTATCTCCTCACGTACTTAACCTTGTCGATACTCATGTACTCAATTGGTGCGAATTCGATTCTTCTTCTCGAGATCTGGATTGGAACACAGAGGAACAAACTACTGGAAGGCATAGAAGGATCCCAGACAATCCTTTTCATTTGATTGCTATTTCTTGTGGAACCGAGGTTTGTTATTTAGTATTTTACTTAAAATGTCTCCATTATGTTATTATCATAGTTTTTGCTTAGTTTCTATCTCTATACTTTATTCTTTCTATATCTTAATCTCATTTCTAGGTTGAGGTATTTCACTTTAGTTCACTTGTCGTCAGGCTTGGAGTTCCGTTTCCCTCTGTGCAGAATGATTCTTCTGGGCTCCCAGGTTGGGATCGAGATTCCATTAAAAAACATCTTGCCTCCGATAATTCAAATTGTGATATTGTGTATTTACACGGCAAGGACCACACAGGCCCGATTACCTCTGTGTCCATCTGCCCAAATGCCTCGTTTCTGGCAACGATTGGTTTGGATGGCTTGTTGCTCATTTATTCACTTCGGTGCATTAATTACGACAATGAAATTAAGCTAAAGTGAGTTTATTTTGATTGTAAATTTTAAGCCTTCTGAGAAATTCACGTCATTACGAATAATTTTTCATGGCAAACTGATAAATCACTTTACTTCATTCTAATATTGATATATTAATGTGCTTATCTGCCCATTTGCAATATGCTAATCCAGGCAATTTTTTGATTTTAGACCTCTGCTTACCTGGTCCCCTCATTCTGGTTCTCCACTTTATTCTCTTTTCTTCATCACCGATGAAGAAGATCAATACTCGTAAGTCACCCGTTCTTAATTCAACAACCTTAGTCTATTACTCACTCATTTCTTTATGGTGCTTTTTTTTATTTATAAACCATTGAGCTTACCTAAGACTGGTGTTGATACGGGCCCCAAAATAAGTTTTACCGAAATCACAGTTCGCAAAATCACTGAGATGAGACATGCTTATCACTAATTCCCCACTCGTCAAGATGACAAGTGATATAGACTAAGTCAGCTTCGAAACATCAAGCTATGCGAGGAGACATTTCAGGTTTCTTCTTTATTCCTCATCTCATCTGCATCTATTTCTACTCCTGAAAATTATCTCTGCCGTTTATCTGTTCTTTTACACCAAGTCCATTTCGG